GCAGGCTGTTTAATCTGCTTTGATTTCTGGTCTTTGGAGAGGGGCTTGGCTACAAGGCCCAATTGTTTCTGTCCTAGGAGCCAAAGCAGACAAAAAGTGCTGAGGGGCGGTCCTGACAGCTAGATAAAATGCCAGGGTGCCTTGTCAGCTCACTACAGCTCAATTCTTTACGTCCTTGCACACTTGCTTAAGGAGGTTATGGCCATTTGAAAACAGGTCTTCAGGAGTCCGAAAACGTGGCTTCAGTTGGAAACTGAAGGCGGAGGGTTGGGTGCAGAGGGGCAGACAGGAAAACAGCAGTCTCTAAGCCCCACGGATTAGGTTTGTTTTCGACAAAGAATCTGCCTTTGCAGCTGTAGGTTGATGGACCGCTGTTCCGATCAGGGGCCCCCAAGATCATGCTCCTGGGTTTGGGAAGTCATTGCATTTTAATTTCTCGAGCCAGGTGATAGGGCACTTCCTCTACAGTTTCCCTTCTCAAGCACGAACAGGCGTTTCCATTTTTGCCCAGCGTAGTTCTTGCCTTTCCTCCTCCCATTGTAAACACGTGCTGATGGCTGGAAGAACTCCTAGGGCACATCACAGAATGGATGCATTGTGGCTGGTTACTTTAAGATGACATCTCAGAAAGTCTCCCTCCGTAGTTTTAACTCCAGTTAGGTTGATAAGTGATAGGAGGATCCAAATGGACATTCTTTAAACTGCCGTCTCTCTTATACTTATCCTTTTTTTTTTTTTTTCCCTAATGGCTTTAGTGAAAGCAGTCTTCCCCGGAAAGGTAATGCCCCACGCCCCAGCCCCCAGGGGCAGTGAATCTATTTGGAAATTGCAAACAATTTACCCTTCTCCCCTTCCCCCTACCATTGGAATTTTTTTTTTTTGCCATTGATTTTTTTTTTTTCCAGGAGAAAAAAAATTTAAAACACTTCCACCCGCCCTCCTATTATAGTTTTCAAGTACTTGAGACCTGGGAGTTCTAGACTCACATTTGATTCGTTCAACTTTAAGATGACTTGGGCCTCCGAGGAAGAGCTGAAAGGCCAGGTGCCACTCCAGTGGGCCTTTGGGAACACAAATTGAACCCTTGAGATCCGCTCAGAATGGATTCCCCTCCCGGCCAGAGGTTGCATGCCATCTGCCTGCCTCGTCTTTCCTTTTGGCCTGAAGTTGGTGAACAGCTCACTGGGTGAGGCTCCGCATTAGTCAGCGAGTAATGTTGAGCAATCCTGTGTTTAATGTTCCCAGGCGTGTGGCTGAAACCTTTTTTGTTTTTTCTCTCTCTTTTTTTTTTTTTTGTACTTCAGGTGAAGGCTTATAAAACAAATGTTTCTCATGAAATAGTAGTATACATATTGTTTTATGACATTGGTTAACAACCCCACAACATGTCAACCCTCTCCTTTCTCGACCTTTTTTTCTGGTGAAAATATACATAGCCAAAGATACACCATTTCAAAAATTTCTACATGCACAGTTCAGTGACATCGACTACGCTCTTCGAATTTTGCTGCTATTCTCACTTTAAATGAAGGCTTGCAGAACAAAATAGTTTCTCATTTAACAGTACACATGTTGCCCTATGACAATGGTTAACAACCTCACAACACATCAACACTATCCTTACTCAACCCTGGGTTCCCTAGCACCAGCTTCCCTGTCCCTTTCTGCCTTCTGGCCCTTGTCCCCAGACTGTGCATCATTAGTCCCATTTGGTTTTATGGGGCTGTCCCCTCCCTGGCTGAACGGTGAACCTCGGAGATGACTTCACCACTGAGCTAAAAGGGTGTCTGGGGGCCATACTCTCGGGGTTTCTCCAGTCTCCTTTAGGCCAGTAAATCTGGTCTTTTTTTTGTGAGTTAGAATTTTGTTCTACATCCTTCTCCAGCTCTGTCCAGAAGTGGCTGAAACCTTTTGAAGGCGAAGGGTGGAAGGCGACAATCCGTTTGTAAGTCTGTTCTTTGCACTTTTTGTTTCCTGCGGTGCTCTCTTGGAAAAAAAAAAACACTATTTAAAAATAAAAAAAATTGAATTCCCTCATCAGCATCTGTTTTCACCCAGCTGGTTTCCATTGGGTTCAGCAACAATGAGGAGAGACTTCTCTTCCCCTCCTGAAATACAGCCAAAAACAAGGATTTTTTTTCCCCTAACCAAGAAGGATTCTCAGGTGTCATGGAGCCAATCAATGGTAGAGTGGCTCAGATGGTTTCCGAAAATTTGAAAAGTCAAAACCGACTTCAGACTTTTACCAATCGACTCTAGAGTTGGGAGAGGTGTGTGAGGGTCTGAGGAGTGGCTGGCTGGCCCAGCCTTGGCCTGTTTTTAAGGATATTGTTCAAAATCATTTGGTTCTCGCTCTGGAGTGGGGGTAGGGCTGAGACCACCACCCCGCCCCGCCCCGAATCCTTCTTAGGAGGACTCGGGAGGTCAGGGTCTGCCTAATGGTGAAGATCCTCACTCTTTTTTAAACTCAGTGGGGCACCAACCCAGTGACTTGGAACAAAGATGAATACTCTCCCAGCAATGAAACTGGAGTTCTCAAGAAAGTAGCTGGAGCCAAGGAAACCGCTAGATTATGATCCCAATTCCTTGCATCTCCCCTCGGAGCTCAAAAGCATGCGACGGCCGTGGTCTCATTCCAAAGCATACCATCCACCAGAGGCAGGGAGAGCAAATGGACCCATTACGCAGATGGGAAAAGTGAGACCCTCAACACGGGAAAAAGGCTGCTGAGCTGAAAACGGAGTTAGCAGGGCCTGGAGTGGACGAGGAGCTGAGAGCTAGGAACTCAAAAAGGGCAGAGTCGGGGGCTTTTCCAGGTGGGCAGTGTGAGAGGTGAGGAAGGAGTGTTTTAGGGGAAGCTGGAGAACTTTGGTCTGCTTGTACTTGTGTCCTTGTCCCAGATGTAGAAGATCCCTGGGTGATGCAAGCAGTTTGCACTCAATGGCTAACCTAAAGGTTAGTGGTTAGAATTCACCCAGAGGCACTGCAGAAGAAAGACCTGGCAATTTTCCATAAGGATCACAGCCAAGAAAGCCTTATGGAGCAGTTCTACTCTGTAACACATGGGGTTGCCACGAGTCAGAATCAACTTGAGGGCAATGGGTTTGTTTCCCTTCCTCCCCATATAGAATGTCACCTGTTGCATGATTTCTTTACTGCATCAGCAGAGGCTGCGGCAGCTGGGGTGGGAGAGCATGCTTGCTTAATACTCAGCTTCCTGAGTTCCTGGAGGCTAGAGAAGGTGAGGAGGGGTCTCTGGCATCCACAGAGGCTCTTCGAGACAGACATGCAGGCCTTCGAGTGTGGACGAGGTAGCCTCTGAAGAAGAGGGCCCAGCGGGGAAGGCAGTGACTGACTGCTCTCCCACTACCCTCCTTCCTTCCTTGCCTGTCCTGGATGCAGCTTCCGGAAGGTTCATCTTTGCCAGTGCTGTCGGTGGTGTTGCTTCCTTCCCCTTGTCCCCCGCCTTCTCGTCCATACAGACCCCGCCCTGCCGCAGTCAGAATTTCCTGGGCCCAAGCCTTTTTACAGTTCCGATGCCCAGGCTATGACCGCCTGTACTTCCTCTCCTGTAAGAAAGACCAAGAGGGCTCTCCATCCAGATTCTGCTCCAGACCAGGGGCGTGCATCCCCAGAGTTAGGATGGGCCCAGGCCACACCAGGGACTTGAGTGCTGGGAGCACTTTGTGGAAACGCAGGCAGGGCAGTGGCAGGTGGTGGTGGGGGAGGAGCCAGAGGCGGGAACTCGGAGAGCACGCCCCGCCTGAGGCCACGCCCCCGCCCTCATTGGCCGGCCAGCATGGCCTGCTTCCAGAGCGCGGGAAGATACTTACAACCTGGCTGCAAATGTGTAAGGATACGAAGTTGACTTCTATTTTTCAAGGATGGGGGGGATAGCAGAGTCTGTGCAAGAATGTTCTAGAGACAAGAGGTCCCCTTGTCTGTTGTAGCTAGAATCAGGCAGTGGCTCCCACCCTGTCAGCGGATCAGGGAACTCTCTTTCTGCAGCTCACAGAAAAACAGAGTGGACCCCATAAACTTTTCTGGGCGTGCAGATCAGCAAACTTTGAAATGATGCGCTCCTGTTGCCTCTTCCTCCCCCTCCTCATTGTGCATGCTTCTGGCATCTGGCCCCTTCCAGCGCCTCCTTCTTGCCTTCCATCCAGCCCCCCACCCCATTTGTGCTCTTGTTGCTAAGCTGGTGACAGTGACGCCTCAGTGACTCCCCTTGCCCGTAAACCTCTCTCTCTCCTTCCGTTTTGCTCCTCGGACACTGACCTCCCCGACCTGGGTCTGTGGTTTCAGGTGCAGCCCAAATTCCGGTACCCTTTCTACTATGAGATGTGCTGGTATGTCTTGGAGCGGTACGTGTACTGTGTGACCCAGCGGTCCCACCTCACTCAGGAACACCAGAGAGAATCAATGCTGGTTGGTGAGTGGACTCTGGGCAGTGGGTGACCTCGGCGGGTCAGCTCGGGCAAAAGGAATGTTTTCCATGGGGCCCTGGGTTCAGGGAATTCTTTTGAGCCACGGTATTGGGAAGAACCCTAGAGATCATAGCATCCAGAGAAGGGAACGAGTTCCTTGTCAGATTCCCACTTGGAATACTGAGTTCAAGGAATAACTCCTGACTCCCCAGAGCGTCACGTTTGTGGTTTCTGGGGCTTGTCCTCAACTACGCAGGCAGGTCCTTGGTACGGTCGCTGACGCAAGAGACCCACCAAGTAAGGAATCCTGGGTCTTTTTGTTCCTCCATGGCCATTAGCTTTGGGTGGGCGTTTTCTGCACAGGGCAAGGCCGGTGAGATGCAGCCAGGGTTCCCAACCCCAGGCCGTCTTGGAGTCCGTGGGAGGGGTGACCACGGCTGGAGCTCAGAGGAGCAGTGGGTGGTACTCAGAGGCGCAGCCGAGAGAGCGGGTTTATAGCCGCAGCTGCAGCTCCTGCCCGACTGCCCGTACTTAAAGGGACACCAGCTCCCCCAAATGGCCCTGTCCTTGAATCTCATTCCACAGATGCCCACCTGAAGTTGCATCTTGTAGCTGGCAGTGAGCTCCCACCAGGGTTGTGTAGGAAAACGCAATCCCTTCCCTCAGCTCCCTCTGAGAGGTTACCATTGAGGGTTTTTTTTCTGGATGCTGAAGCCGGCTGTGCAGCGCTCACAGTGGCCTTTCCATCGGGGGACAGGGAGATGAGACTGGCTGGATGGAGAGCCCCTCTTGTCTTCTTTGGGGTCCGCACGACTTCTCCTGCAGTCTCCAGGACTGCTGGGTTTTCATTTTTATTGTTTTCCTCACAGTAAGCCTTCTCCCTTTCTCAGTCACTTTGAGGGGTATCTTAGTCATCTAGTGCTGGTACAACAGAAGTACCACAAGTGGATGGCTTTAACAAAGAGAAAGTTATTTTTTCACAGTAAAGTAGGCTAAAAGTGCAAATTCAGGGCATCAGCTCCAGGGGAAGGCTTTCTCTCTCTGTCGGCCTTTTCAGCATTGTTCCCCTGGACTAGGAGCTTCTCCGCGCAGGAACTCCAGGTCCTAAGGATGCGCTCTGCTTCTGGCACTGCTTTCTCGGTGGTATGAGGTCCCCCCTGTCTCTCTGCTCACTTCTCTCTTTTATATCTCAAGAGATTGCCTCAGGACACAATCCAATGTTGTAGACTGAGTCCTGCCTTACGAACACAACTGCCACCCATCCTCCCTCGTTAACATCATAGAGGCAGGATTTACAACATATAGGAAAATCATACAATACTAGGAATCATGGTCCCCCCAAATTGATGCGCACGTTTTTGGGAGGACATAATTCAATCCATGACAAGGGGTGTCAGGCTGGGCGCATGTTGAGGAACAAACGCTTCTTTGGCTGAGAGTCTGTCCTGGGCAGGGCTTGTTTGCCTCCTGGGAAATGTTCGTTTTCTCTGAGGTGTCTCTCTGGAATCTCATTTCTGTCAGACGATGGGATATCTAGATGTAGAAAAATACCAACACTCTAAAACCTGCCCCTCTGAAG